AGTAACCTAAAGAGACACAGAACACATGCTGGCACAGGCTTGCAAAAAGGCAGGAGACACAACCATTCCTACACTTGTTACATGATGAAAGTACAGCTATGATTAGGGCTGTCCTTTTTAAATTCACCACCCCTGAGAGTGGATGCTGCTGCAGCTACTGCATAGGTAGAATGATGCAATATTTCAACTCCTGTACATACTTAGCAATAAAAAGTTACTGAAGGTCATATCCCCCCCCCCGCGCTCTGTATTTTTATTTTTAACATTTTGCAAATGGAAGACTGGTGTGGCGTAGTGGTTACAGTGTCGGACTAGGACCTGGCATGACCGGGTTCAAATCTCTCGCTCAGCCACAGAAGCCTGCCAGTTTACCATGGGCCTGTCATGATCTCTCAGCCCAACCGACCCTCACAAGGCTGTTGTGATATTAAGCGTTGGGCTGCTGGAGGCAGACATGTTCAACGAGAGATTTATTTATTTATTTATAGATTTGATTTATACCCCGCCCTCCCCACTGCTCGAGTCCAGTGGCACTTTTAAGCAGAGGTCATTTTGGGGGGGAACGCAAGGGAACGCAGTTCCCCCGGGTGAGGTGCAGGGGGCGGGGCACATGACGAAGCCCCGCCCCCTGCTTCCGGCCGCCCCGCTTCCAGCCCTCATTCAGCCAGGAGGAGGCAGGAGAAGAGGGAGGGTAAGTTGCTTCCTCCCCGCCTCTCCCCACCCCTGCCTGCCTGGGGCCAGGGAGGGCCTTGGCGGGGCTTTCTCGCACTCCCGCTGGCCTTGCAGGTCCACCGCTGGGCCTCTGATGTCAGGGGGTGTGGCATATGTTAATGAGTTAGGCTAATGAGTTCCCCTAGCTCTTTTTCTACGAAATGACCCCTGCTTTTAAGACCAACAAATTTCGTTCAAGAGATAAGTTTTGGTGTGCACGCACCCTTCTTCAGATACATTCCAAAGGAATTTACAAGCTACCAGTCCATACATATAGGTAGAGGGTGAGCAGCAAATTAGCATACAGCATAATAAAGTTTAAAAGATGCATTACAATGTGGGATCTGCTGCCAGAGGATGTTGTGATGGCCACAGGAAAAAAACAGCTTTAAAAGGTTAGAGAGATTCATAGGGGATAAGTCTATCAATGGCTACCAACCATGGTGACTGAGCGGAACCTCCACATTCAGAGGCACTAATCCTCTGAATCCCAGGAGGCAATATCAGGGGAAAGCCTCAGCCTCTATGCCTTGATGTTGGCCATCCAAAGGAACTGGTTGGCCACTGTGTGAGACAGGATGTTGGACTAGATGGACCACTGGTCTGATCCAGCAGGGCTCTTCTGACGTTCTTATGAAGGCCTCGGCTGCTCTGCCCTATTGCTGGCCCTCTAGAGGAACTAGTCGGCCACTGTGTGAGACAGGATGTTGGACTAGATGGACCACTGGTCTGATCCAGCAGGGCTCTTCTGATGTTCACCCTACCTATGCATTTCTCAAGGGAACCACTGATGACCTGTAGAGACAGCCCATTCGCCGTTTGCCCGTATTTCCCCCAAAGTTTAGCACTATCACTCAAAAGGGCATTCCAGCCTTTTCTGATTTATGTAAACAGAATGTTTGCCCCGCATTTAAAGGAAACACAGACCTCTCATCCAGCATTGTTGCTCAGGAAATTTAAATAACCTCCAACTCAAATTTAAATATTTAAATAATGCTAGCTAAATCCAAATAACATTCGCAAGAGAAGGCAAATATACCATGTACAAGTGCGGATTATGAGGAAATTTATTTATTTTATTTATTTATTTATTTAGGGATTTGTACCCCACCCTATCCGGTAGCTCAGGTCTGTCCATACTTCGTATCCCACGTTTTGCTCACCTAAAATGATTTATATTTATTTACTTCTTTATGATCTCACCCTTCCCTCCAGTGGGGACTCAAAGCAGCTTACATAATCTCCCTGACATCCCGTTTCATCCTCACAACAACCCTGTGAGGTGGGCTAGGCTCAGGTGATTTACCGGCCCAAAGTCACCCGGCAAGCCTCCGCGGCAGAGCAGGGATGTAAACCTGGGCCTCCCAGATCGTAGTTCGCCACTCCAACCACAACACCACACTGATCGAACTGCAGCACAACAGCCTTGGCAGCTATATATATAAACAGACCGCATTGACATAGCACCAGAAGAAGTTCTGAAAGAATTTCCACCCCTATATCAGTGCTTCCATCCAAAGAGGATGCCTGCAGTCAAAGTTTATAATGCAAAATGTTAGAATACTTCCCCTTCATACCTATGGGTCAAACTACCTGGATCCAGCAGCGACTTTGCTCCCGTCAGCGTTGAAAGCCACGTGGTTTGCATTCATAGTGAAGCGAGTCAGGATACCATCCGGAACGCCGTCCGGGAACGTGTGGATCTGGACAGCATTGTTAGATGCTGCGGTAATCAGCTTCCCATTCTGCAAATGAAATAACACTTATTCAAATCAAGCTGTGGGATTCTATACCTCAGAATGTGGTGATGGTGGTCACTTGCTTAAGATAGCAGATTTAGGCCAAAGGTCTCTGCCATCAAACATCACACCACACACGAAGTTCTCAAGGCTATGGGCACCAGTTATAAAATATATGACAGAGCATGAAATACTTCCCTCAGATCCCAGTTATCACAGGTGGTTGTTCCTGTAAAATGCCACAAACCCCAATCCTCAAATTAGCATATCAGAAACGTTCGGTCTCTATCACACTAAACCTCAACATGGCGCACTAAGACTCATGAGGTCCACTAAAGTAACCACAGGGTAATGTACTAACATAGAGTTAACATAGCAAGAATAGTTAATAGCCGGGACTGTCATGTTATACTTATAAATTGTACTTTTCCAATGTTTCCAATTATTTTCTTGTTGTAATCTATATCTCCCTGTTATGGCTATGCTTTATTGAGCTTTGTGCATTGTAAAAGAGTATAAAAATAAAATATTAAAAGTCAAAAAAAAAGATAGCTTTAAAAGTAGGCTAGAAGAAGAAGAGTTGGTTTCTACATCCCACTATTCTCTAAGAGTCTCAAAGTGGTTTACAATTGCGTTCCCTTCCCTCTCCCCCACAACAGGCACCTGGTGAGGTAGGTGGGGCTGAGAGAGTCCTGAGAGCTGTGACTGGCCCAAGGGCACCCAGCAGGCTTTGTGTGGAGGAGGAGTGGGGAATCAAACCCGGTTCTCCAGATTAGAGTCCGCTGTTAGCCGAACTGCTTTATCTACAACAGCTGGCAGACTAAATTTATATCTGGATTCTTGCCCGTGTATACCAAGGTCCAATCCACCCCCAAGGGTTCGCCAGTGAAAGAGTCGAGGCTGGTATGTTCCAAAACAATCTATCTTTTAGTTAAAGGTAAAGGTCTCCCTTGCTCGAAAGCCAGTCGAATCCGACTCTAGGGTTGCAGTGCTCATCTCCGTTTCAAAGCCGAAGAGCCAGCGCTGTCCGAAGACGTTTCCGTGGTCATGTGGCCGGCATGACTAAACACCAAGGCGCATGGAACGTTGCGGTGGCTCAAGTGATTAAGACGCTGAACTGCAGGCTGTGGAAGGTCAGTAGTTCAGCAGTTCGAGACCCGGGTGCCGCATGATGGAGTGAGCTCCTGTCTCTGGCCCCAGCTCCTGCCATCCTAGCAGTTCGAAAGCAAGAAATTGCAAGTAGATAAATAGGTACCACTATGGAGAAAGCAAGAGAGTACCAGAAAAATATCTACTTCTGCTTCATTGACTATGCTAAAGCTTTTGACTGTGTGGATCACAACAAACTATGGCAGGTCCTTAAAGAGATGGGAGGACCAGACCACCTCACATGTCTCTTGAGAAACCTGTATAAGGGCCAAGAAGCGACAGTTAGAACCGGATATGGAACAACTGATTGGTTTAGCATAGGAAAAGGAGTACGACAAGGATGTATATTGTCGCCTTGCTTATTTAATATATATGCAGAGTACATCATGCGAAATGCTGGCCTGGATGAATCACAAGCGGGAATTAAGATTGCTGGGGAAAAGATCAACAACCTCAGATATGCAGATGATACCACTCTAATTTCATAAAGTGAAGAGGACCTCAAGAGCCTCTTGCTCAGAGTAAAAGAGGAGAGCGCAAAAGTGGGCTTGAAGCTCAACATCAAAAAAACTAAGATCATGGCATCCGGCCCCATCACTCCTTGGCAAATAGAAGGAGAAGTCATGGAAATAGTGTCAGACTTCACGTTCCTGGGATCCCAGATCACCGCAGTCTGTGACAGCAGCCATTAAATTAAAAGACGCCTGCTCCTTGGGAGGAAAGCGATGGTGAACCTAAACAGCATGATAAAAAGTAGAGACATCACCCTGCCAACAAAAGTCCGCATGGTCAAAGCAATGGTATTCCCAGTAGTCATGTATGGCTGCGAGAGTTGGACTATAAGGAAGGTCGAGCGCCGAAGAATAGGCAACTGGACCTCACCTTTTTTAGGTGGATCTTCGGGTGGGTGGCAACCATGCCAGTCTGTGAACCCACCTACCTGCTAGTCCATCCATAAAACTGACCCTATTGGTGCATATGATGAGGGGTGGCTACCTAAAGGGTTGGGCAATATTGAAACTCTAGACTCTAACTCAGGGGGCAAAATTTGGATAAGTGTGAAAGCTTGGCGTCAAGGAATCTTCTTGATTGTGTAAAGGAAGCTGGCCTTTCCCAGGTAATCAATGAGCATCTGGCAGGAAACTGTCAATTCAGATGTAAAGCAGAGATGTTGAGTATGTGTCTTTCAACAGTTCCTCGATGGGGGCTGTTTATCCTTCAGTTGTTGTTTGCTGACAGTAATGGCTATGTGTGCTTCTTCCCTCAGGCAAGGAGCTGTGTATTGGAAACCTCATTAACATGGGGCTTAGATCAAGTCACCATCTATGTGTCTCTCACAACAGGCGACCTGTTCAGCTTTCCTTGAGCCTATGGGTGTATGTATGCACAGTCCATGCAGTGTGTGGCAGCAAATATAAATCCATAAAGCAAATATTACTCTCATTTCTCAACACCACCGCTCTTAACCACTACACCAAGCTGGCTCTCAAGGCCAGACAAATTCAGAGAGGGTTAAGTTCATCCCTGGCTATTAGCCACGGTGGCTAAATGGGACCTTCATGGTAGCCGCCAGGGACAAAGGCAACAGTGGAGGTTTTGGTCTCTGTGCCTCCTGGTGTGGAACCTGTGGGGCATTTAGAGGATTATTGAAGGAAACAAGATGATGGACTAGATAGACCTCTGGTCGATGTAAATGGCCAGTGTGTGAGACAGGATGCTGGACTAGATGGACCACTGGTCTGATCCAGCAGGGCTCTTCTGATGTTCTTATGAAGGCCTCAGCCTCTATGCCCTGTTGTTGGCCCTCCAGAGGAACTGGTTGGCTACTGTGTGAGACAGGGTGCTGGACTAGATGGACCACTGGTCTGATCCAGCAGGGCTCTTCTGATGTTCTTATGAAGGCCTCAGCCTCTATGCCCTGTTGTTGGCCCTCCAGAGGAACTGGTTGGCTACTGTGTGAGACAGGGTGCTGGACTAGATGGACCACTGGTCTGATCCAGCAGGGCTCTTCTGATGTTCTTATGAAGGCCTCAGCCTCTATGCCCTGTTGTTGGCCCTCCAGAGGAACTGGTTGGCTACTGTGTGAGACAGGGTGCTGGACTAGATGGACCACTGGTCTGATCCAGCAGGGCTCTTCTGATGTTCTTATGAAGGCCTCAGCCTCTATGCCCTGTTGTTGGCCCTCCAGAGGAACTGGTTGGCTACTGTGTGAGACAGGGTGCTGGACTAGATGGACCACTGGTCTGATCCAGCAGGGCTCTTCTGATGTTCTTATGAAGGCCTCAGCCTCTATGCCCTGTTGTTGGCCCTCCAGAGGAACTGGTTGGCCACTGTGTGAGACAGGATGCTGGACTAGACGGACCACTGGTCTGATCCGGCTGGGCTCTTCTTATGTTCTTATGTGAAGTAAGATGAAATGATTTAAGTCAATATACTAGGCAACTTGAAAGCAAAATGACTGTAAACAACAAATGCAAAGTATCCCACTCTGAGTTTGCCTCATAATGTCAATGCACGGGAGGGAGTTATTAAGAGAAAAACTGGCAGATAAGAGAGGTCCTTATTTCTTCTTCTTCAGTTTGACCACAAAATGCCCACCCATCTCTACAATTTTTGCTCATATTTCCCTCATCTAGGCTCCAAAATGGGAATCTGGGCAAGAGATTTAGGGTGGACAAAAGCAAATACTTCTTTACACGATGAGTTATTAAAATGTGGGTTTCCCTGCCAGAGGATGTAGCGATGGCCACAGGTATAAACAGCTTTAAAACGAGATTAGACAGACTGATGGAGGACAGGTCTATCAGTAGCTACTAGCCATGGTGACTGAGGGGAACCTCCACGTTCAAAGGCAGTCAATCCCTGAATCCCAGTGCTGGGAGGCAAGATCAGGGGAAGCCCTTGGCCTTTATGCACTGTCGTTGGACCTCCAGAGTATATTTCTTCATTTATTACATTTTTTTCAACCACCGCTCATTCAGGGGATCATAAGAACATAAGTGAAGTCAATGTTGGATCAGGCCAATGGCCCATCCAGTCCAACACTCTGTGTCACACAGTGGCCAAAAATACCAGGTCCAGCAGTGGGGCCAGGAGACTAGAAGCCCTCCCACTGTTGTCTCTCCCAAGGACCAAGAAGACAGTGCGTCACTTGCCCCAGACCGAGAGTTCCTATCTAGACCTTGCGGCTAATAGCCACTGATGAACCTCTGCTCCAGATGCTTATCTAGTTCCCTCTTGAAGGTGTCCATGCTTGTAGCCGCTACCACCTCCTGTGGCAGTGAATTCCATGTGTCTTGTGGCAACTTACAACACTTAATATAATAAATAAGTTAAAAACCAACAAAATCAAACACAACACATAAGATAATAAAATACATGATTCAGCACTATACTACTATCCAACCAATAACTGGCTAGCCACTTCCTGACCTGAGACCTTAGGTCAAATGAGCCGACCATTAGAGGAAAAGGTTGTCCACTGTATGAGACATGATGCTGGGCTAGACAGACAACTGGTCAAATCCGGCAGGGCTCTTCTGATGTTAAGGTCTAAAGGATAGGTGAACAATGTTCTGTGGAGCACGTATTTTCAGGGTTAATCATCCCCTTCTGCCATCTATTGCTCCCTCCTTCCAGTTTTCCCCCTCATAACACTCCTGCGAGGTAGGCGAGGCTGAGAGTGACTGGCCCAAGGTCACCTAACGAACTTCATGCCTGATTTGAAACAGGGATTCTCATGTACTAGTCTAATGCTCCAGTCCATATACCATACTGGCTTACCAGCCCTACAAGTCATAATACATCCTATCTCCACAAAATTGAACAGGCACGTTTCTATCCATGAGCACGCATGC